TTTTTTTCACTTGTTTTCGATTCACTTCACCTAGTGCTAAATGTATCCAGAAGACGCTATTTAGAATCATCCGAAAAACAATTTGTTCAACAAGCATTATCATCTTAGCTGCTTAACAGCCAATCCTTGAGCATATAACGAGTAATTATGAAGAAGAGGAACAGGTAAACATTTTAAAAAAAATGAGAAACTCCTTGAGCTCAGCTACTTCAAAAACTATTTTTGAAAGTAAACTTAAATAGTCTCAAGCTGCAAACAAAAATTTGCTTACTTGTCAATCAAATCTGCATTTCTAAAATGGACTTTGAAGTGAGAGACAGGCTGAAGGAGCAACAGAAGGAGGAAGCAGAAAAGGTGGTGTAATAAAAATGACAAATCAGCCCCAATTTTTTTTTTTAAAAAAAGTGAGTTCATCGGCGATGAATTCGTAGACACGAAAGGTCGTACTGCAAGAATGCATACAGAAAACGTGTTTTCAACCCAAAAAAGGTTCAGTTTATAACTGCAATTAACATTGGCCATGGAACTTCAAACAAAGTCACCTCAAATTCAATTCCAACCAAATAACACGGAAAAAAATCGCTTTTTCAAACCTCCGTCAAAATATATTTTTTGAATAACCAAAGATCATATAATTCTGAATTGAAGCTTGAAGAAAAAAAAGAAAATGAAAGGAAGCGAAACAATAATAAAAGAAGCTGTGTTACTAAAAATACTGACTTTTCTTATAGCTTTCTTTCCATTTTCATCAATATTTGACAATATTTGATTGTTAAAAACAAAAAATTTTTATATAAACGTTCCCGTATCCTTTATTTACTTTCCAGCCTTCCGGAATAGTTCAGAAATAGCCTGAAAAGCCTTCCCTTTCCTATCCAACAAAATTTTTTTTTAACAAGGCTGCTCAGTGATGAAAAAGACAACTCCTGCAAAAAAAAAGTTTTTTAGACTTACCTTTAATTTCTGCTCTCTCACTTTTTTCTTTCTTCAATGACAAACGACTATTAAAGTGCAAAAAAATATTTGCGGACAGATGTGTTGGTAAATGATGCGTTTAAAAGATAAACTATGATCTACATACAAATGTAACTTTTTCTAATCACTAAATAATTTTTGGCAAAAGAAAAAACTGCCGCGCTAATTGCTGTCTTCTTCAACGTTTCCATCGCACATAAATTGCTTACAATTTACTTAAAAAATAGGCAGGTTTGAAGAGTTACTTCTGCGGTTATAAAGACGGCACAATTAAGAGAATCAACAAGCTAACGATTTTTGCCAAGAAAAACCCTTCCTCAAAAAAATATAATTTTGAAATCCCTAAACCATTTTCTTCCGAGGGAAACAGCAACACAGTGAGACATTTCTGAACGTTGAACAATGCCATCAACAGTAGCAACAGGAACGACTCATTACAGATGGCGATGACGACGACAATGACGATAATGGCAATAACACTAGATGGCGATGCCGACAGTGATGTTGTTGGTGATGGCAGTTTAATAGTGTACAACAGCTGATTAGAGTGATTTAACAAAAACTGGCAATTAAATAGTGTACTGTAACACACCAAATCGGTCAACGGCTCACCACTGACTAAACCACAAGAGGCTGTGTTTGAGACGGTACCTATGTGAAAGTAGGTGCTTAACACCTGACTGGTATCGTAGTGTGCAACCGATTTTTTGTCCCAAAATGTTCGCCTTGTTGCTGCTGGTTGAGCACTTCGCAGCTTCACTGTAAAATTTCAATGACCTGTTGAGTTAATCCCAAATCATTCAGCCAAACTTTCGCTTAGATTTGCATTATTCATCATCCCAACGATTTATTTGTTGGTTTTTTTAAAAACAGTCACCTAAAACAAATCGTAAAACGACTGTGCACTTTAAAATTCAGATAGGCCCGCACAGTAGTAATCAGAAATTGCTACAATAAAAGCTAAGTTAATCGCGTAGACTGCGAGAAAAGAAGATGATCAGAAGCAAAATAATAAACACTGCACATCCGCTGTCATTATAAAGTCGACTCTTCCAAACAATCAGCAAGACGAACATGAAAAAAATCGAATTTAAAGTAAAATTTTTTTAAAACAAAAATGACTAGACCTTCTTCCCCTTCTTCAAGTGATCTACTACAGATTGAAAAAAGGAAAACAAAAGACATCTTTAATCACTTACTTTTGTTCCCCTGAAGTGCCGCCCCTAAGTTGCGTCCGCTGTTTCCTCACTGCTTGACTAATGTTTTTGAATTTTCAAAGACTTCCAAGAAGCAGAAGCAGAACAGTAGTTCAAAAATAACCATTTGCTCTATTACTATTACTACTACAATAATTGTACACAAGTTTGAAGCATTGCTACAACGTTACTTTCCATGATATACAGAAAAAACGCTGATGAAGCACCGTTATAATTACCACCGAACAACCAGTAGGCTAACGAATGCATGGTAAAACTGTAAAGTATAAGCAGAAACCGATCATCAACAGTCCAGCAATACACTCACTGCTTACAGATGAGCTACCAAGGCTGATTCGTCGGTTACTGGTGCTACCCGACTGCGACAGGAAACTTCGACGCCGTCCGTACCGCCGGAACGCCTGTCACTAGGAAATGGTTCGCACAACTTTGATACACATGTGGGTGCGTACGTATGTGAAACAAAACCAATGATACATCCTTCTTCGTTCACTCTTGCTCATCATCCTTCTTTTGGTCGTTTAAGTACCCAATTAAAAGCTCAAACAAATCGTCCTCACCTTGAAAAAATTGAAAACTGCTTCACGTTCAGGTACATTTTCCTAAATTATTGTGTAATTTTCTTCCACACTCATCTTCATTAATTGTTTTTAAGTGTATTATGCGTGTATGTATTTCGTTGTGATTTTTTATAAAATGGGTTTTGCTCTGTTTCATTGAAACTGTTGTCCTTAAGCTGTTTCCGCTCAGCCGTGGTTCCAAACAATTCAACCTTAGAACTAGACTAATTATTTGGAACAAAAATTTGCACATTATTACCAAAACAATACACTAACAAACTGCTAGAGCTAATCTTCATCTATTCCACAGATACTTTATGAAATTCATGTAAATTTCCCTCAAAATGGCAGTTACACAAGTATTCTAACTTTGCAAATTTTGAAAAAAATTTGCAAACATTATCTTTTCTTAATCACCAATCAGTAGCTAATTTTTCGGAATTTGTTCAGAATAAGTTGTCATCAAAAAACTTAGATCCATATACTCTTAATCATTCATAACAACCAAACCCTCCTATTTAAAGATCATTAAGGTACGCATCACACGACACCACTTACGTTAAACAACCTTCTAACCAAGTGTTACAAACTAGTTGCCCCAACCAAAAGTAGTTCTTCTTTGCAAAATACTTGGAAAAACATAAAAAGAAAAATATTTCCAGCAACGACTGAATTCTTACAACTATACTTCAAAGTGTAAAAAATCTTAGACCCACTGATACTCTTGGTGCGCTGACACGTGCTTTAAAAAAAATCTTGGTTCAAGATAGAAGCAACAGTGGTAGCCACAAACAGTTCAACGTACCCTTGCTGACCACTTATAAAAATGCGTTAAACGCCTTTTTCAAACAATCGAATCTGACAGCAACGCACAACTATATATCATATTTTCAAATTATCAATAACCTTATACAAAGACCTATCCAGAAATTCTTTAGGAACATCAGCATAATGTCAAATACACCAAAACTACTTGGAGTTTTTAGTGGCTACTCATCTTAGACTAGTCAATCTTGAGTAAAAAAAAATTACGTTTGTCCTCAGTAAGAGAACAAATACCAGCAGAAGAGAGCTGACAATAAAACTTTATAAGCACAGTTGCTTCACAAACAAACACATTTGTTGACACAACTCTGTAAAATAAACAAGTGATTTAAAACTTAACTCAACTCAGAAAAACCGTTCCAAAAGCAAAAAATAAAATTAAAAATAAATAAATAAATATGAAGAGAAAACTGAGAGACGAAAGCAAATGACCGTCTTATGAATTACTTTTGGTACAGCCTGTAAAAAGAGGCACAGTCCCTCTTTTTTCAACAGAAAAAAACAAGTTTAATCTAGCAATATATAAATCTTCAATAATAGAATAAGCTCATTGACCCCAAAAAGGGTTGATTCCCCAATATTACGTTTAAAGCATAAGAAATTTTGAAAATATGCTTCAGAACAGAAAACAGAAGCATCATAAAAAAGCGTCAATTTCCAAATTCTGTTATCAACAGCGACAACAACATGGTAAAACTCTGTGAATAAACGTTCAAATCCTAATATAGTACTTTAAGAGCAAAGCCAAGGTGCAAGTCAAATAAATAAAAGTTTTGGGCCATCCCATAAATGTAGCACAAGAAGATCAACCCAACTAAGAAATGAGGGCTTTCACTGAAAATCTACCAGGTAACTATTATAAAAAGCAATAAATAGTCTTTAAAAGAATTTCAAAACAATATGAACAAATACCTTTTGGTTAAAGTGGAACCTCAGTAATAAAAAGGTGCGCAAATAATTAAACCTAAGCCTATCAACAAGACAGCAAATAAACAGAAAATAAAAAGGTGAAACCGTATTAACAAGGCTTAAAAAGGTGATTCATAACATATTTCCTGACAACACTATAATACATACTAAGGTCTAGTAGTGAAAAAATACCTTTGACCGACATTAAAGTCAAACTATATTAATGATGAAAACCACTATATAAATTCTAAGAATTTTAAACGTAATACCATGAAAAGACAACGTAGCTGAAGCAGCAGAAATGAATATGACATACTTTGAAAAGCCTAAAAGACACAGGCAAGAGATTACATACACCCGTATCATACAACAACATCCAAAATTGAGTTAGATCACTAGAAAAAAAAACATACGTAGTATGCAAAAAAAATAATCTAAATCAAATTTCTTCCCTTCTTCTTCACCCCGCCAAAGGCGAAAACCCGGAAGCAAAAATAAAGAAGAATGAGCACTAACTGTAACAAGTACTAATAGAAGAATATAACATAAGGATACCTTAATCATTACGTATACCTAGAGTTAAATACTACGTACCCCAGACAGGTTTTCTGCAACTTATACAAATTTATCCTTTGTATCGCGAGGCACTTAAGTCATAGAAGCGCCAAGATATTTACGCACTGTCTCGTATACCACGTAACTTATGCCAACTGCCGGAATAACTTTCATAAAATTGGGAGCTATGCCTCTATAAAGTCCAGAAAAGCCTTCATTTTTCAAAATATATTGTAGCTGTCCAATCATAGTGTCCGGCTGTTGCAAATTACCAGAGATGGCTAAAAAACTGATTGAAAAGGAAAGATGTAGAAACTAAATCCGTTTCAACAACGTTTAAAAAACTTCTAGCAAAAAAGATCTACAAATACCAACCC